CCATCCGGAGGATTCCAGCGTTCGCAAATATTCGCCCATTGTTCGACACTTATAGCAAGCTGAATATAAGTTTTTAATTATAAGCAAAAATGATCAAATCATTTAGCAACAAACCTTCAAGAAGTTTTAACTGACTAGCCCTCATCACATGAATATTCTCAATATCAAAGAAATGAAATCTCGTATTCGAATAGTTTCTTTCATCTTCGAATCCTTTTCCTTGTACCTTATTGACCATAGCATTGACCTGAAAGTGTAAGATATCAGCTTCCCATTAGAAAGGCGTAGAAAATTAACCATAGGCCGAGTGTCAACGAGGAACAAAGTGTCACAGTTCTTATTCGCCTTTCCTATCAACTCCATAAGTTTTTCATCCTCTACACATCGAGCGGAGAAGCCAGTCAACGGCTGGGCACACCTAAAAAGTAATTTTTCAGAAAAAAAAAGTCTATCAACATTAACAAAAAAGAACTTCTTAGGCTACAATTCACAAAGTGAACGTAGTTTACGAGAACTTCCAATTATGATAACGAAAGCACTGAAATCGGAAGCAAACATAGTTCCTACCTGCATATAGCTGCACCATTAGGTTTGTAAAAGTAAGTCAACACCGGTAATCGTCCTCGAGATCGAAATCGACATGAACCCATAAGCGTAGTTTTACTCGCTGCTACAGGTAACCATAACCGTTCTGGATATGTATCACAACTCTAAAATGGCAAAAATCAGTCAACAAGGAATAATAGGCGTGGCCAAAGCCGCAACGCAACCGCGCCGCTACACCCATGGGATCCAAAAATGTGTAGTTTTCGAAAAAATCTTGAAAGGTGCGCGTTCAATCCGCTGCATCGGCAATAATTCTAAAAACGCAAGTCCCCGATCACAGTCTCACAAACTAGTTCAAATGGCAAAAAGCAGTCAGGCACAGCAATGAAAATAGTTCGAAGAAAAGAGAGAAAAGAAAGAGCTCGTAATTGCACTATGAAATCAGAGAAAATAACATTCAAATTCTGCAGAATTGTTACGTCTCAACTCGCGTTGGGTTTACGCAGATGAAAACTGACGATACTTACACGATATGACTCATTGAGATCATTTTCTGCCCATTCACTGTCTATACCTTGTCGAGTAAATTCCACTTCCCAATCCAAGCGTGCCCATCCCCGAGCATCTTCAGCTACATCTCTGTTTTCAAATGCTACCAGCTCGCAGACATTCACTAAACTAAGTTATTTTCGCTAACTGGCTTAGAAGTGGAAATTAGACTCACCCGTCTTTGAGCATCTAAGTAAGGTTTCGTAGAGATCTTGACAAATTTTATCCCTTGCTATGAGTAGATTTATTACCTGCAAATATAATTTGAGTG